AACACTTGTTCAATACTAGTGGGACATGGTACACTTAAACAGACATGAGGTGCGCAATAGACTTACCTCCTCGTGGTGCACCCTGGGCAACGTATACTCATACGGCCAAAAAGTCTATTTATCGGCAGTTGACTTCTGACTTCAAACTACTATGACCCGACTATTTGTCATATTCGACCCCCTCTGCAGTACACATCTTACCTTTTCTCTGCCTTTGTGTCTGCCTGTCTATTTTCCATCTGTGGATCACTCTTCTGTTCCCCCTCCTCACTGTGTAGCCCCGAAGTCAGCTAAGGGGCTAATGATAACTATCAAAACGCCTGCCATTTGATATAAACAAATAATTTAAACAGACATATATGTTCTTTGTACAGCAATATTTAACCCACGAAGATACTTCACCACATACCTAGATTGGGAGAATTTTCCTTTCCCTATCTTGACTAAAAGATCCAATCATATGCCATTTATAAAAATAACCTTAATTAGACCAGAGAACTCAATGTTAATATTCTCAAACCTAGTTGCTCAAATGATTTCAAGGAAAACATTCCTCAATCCCAGATATGTTCTGAATGGTCTTCAATCCTGCACCTTATTATTTCCTAATGATCTCCCAGCGAGAGACACTTCTTTATTCATTTGATTACAGTTGCCATTTATCAACTCAAGCTTTACCAAAAGGGATAGAATGAAGGAAAGCCATTTAAGGCAATCATTTCGGCCAGTGACATCACTGAGTCATTTTACGGGGTAGTTCACTTTCGATCGGGAATCCATCGACTGTTTTTTTTATGAATACATTTTGCCATTTATTACGATGCGGAGTCACGCAGATGACTCCTGACCTGACAATTGGCAGTGCCAAATCGACTTAAAGTCATTGTCCCCCACTTTGAATGAACTCCGTTAAAATACTTTAAGCTACCTTTATCATGCCACCTTGGCAATTATTACAATGAAACTTGCCAAACAAACTGATTTGCAGAAATGAAGATTGGGGTGGAACACTATCATCCGACCTTTTAAATTAGGGAGAAAGCGTTATTCTCGCGGTTATCACTTGAATAAGGATGCTGTCACCTCTAAACACCTAACTTGCGATTCCAATCTTAACTGCAAACGACCAGCGCCTCACATGATGTAAGAACATAGATGACCCTACCTGGTTATGCTAATAAACTGTGCAATCAGCCAATATTTTAAACTCCAATGATTAACTACTTCTTATATGTTGTGGACACATTAATCAAATTGGGCCAGGTAGAATCCCGTTGTTTTCAGTAAATTTCAGCACTAATGCAGGATTTAACGCAATCTATTATTATGATCAGCACAAAATGGATAATCGAAATTTTGAATTAAGCAGGAACCTAGCATCTCACTTATATGGTTGTGAATTTAATTTCAATCCGGCTTCCCAACTGTTGAAGATAAATAAATCAAAATTGCGCTATAAATATAGTTCCACTTGGGAAACACTTCAACTACTTATTCACCTTTACCGGCATTCATTTATGTGAAATTAATTTGAGCAAGGAATAATGCGCTAAACTATAAAGCTCGTCTTCGGTATCATTAACTGAAAAGAGAAGTAGCGTATCAGCAAGGAAATTACACCATCCAATGGCTTGCTAATTCGTTGCACTCAGAACAGGAATATATATGGTGAAGGTCCATGAAATAACAAATCGTCACTATCTATCCTACATTTATTGAATATTGCATAGACTATCTATGATCATCTTAGATCGAATATTCCACAGCATTTATATGACAAGATTAGAATAAGGCCAATTAATACAACTCGTGTAGAACTTTATTGACCTCAATGTCCTTCCTTTGCATTGTAGAACGCTCCCCAAATTATGCTCTGACAAGCTAAACCTTCAAAGCCTACGCAACAAGAAACGTGGGGGAATGGAAATCTCCACAAAGTCATTTCTTTTTCGCTTAAAAGCATTGAACGAGGGGGTTATCATTTCTTGATTTACAAAATACGTATTCATTCAAATGTCGTCATCACTTAATAGTGCCATGTTGCACCGCAAATACTAAAATTAGAGAGACCACGGTGACCTATATGGTGTGCGCAGATTAAAATGTCGTATTGCGTTTGAAGATGAGTCACACGAAGCTCCATAACCACCTACTCCTAGCCTCATAATATATATGCGCCACCACTTAACCACTAATTAATTACATAGAGAAACAAAGAAACGCAGGTACCATGTGTAAGAGTACATATAAGCACATATTTTTTCCAATAAACTCACAGAATATAATGTAGAGAAGGGAAGACAGAAACAGTGAAGAGTGCATGCCTGAAGAGGATGTTTCAACACAACCACACCATCAAAACCCAAAAAAAAATTCTAAACACAGTTTGGATTATACTTTGAAAATGGATGGAGATGAAGAGGCAGAAACAGACTACTAACAAGAGAGTCCGACAAGAGAAAGCCGACGACGCAAGGTAGATCAGGCACGTGCTATAACAAGATTGGTTTCTATATATGGAGAAAGCGGCAGGATAGGGTAATAGTTCTGCAAATCCAGGAGAGGGACACAGGCACACGCACAAAATTAATACGGTATGCCGAAAAGCTATTAATCTCCACGCCCGAGGCTTTGTGCTGTTGTTTCCTAGTATATACGCACAAGTAGACGGATATAAATGAGTGCATTATTGATTATTTTTTGTTCTATTAAAATAGTACCGAAGATGGCAAATCTGGTAGAGGAAGGTGGTATAAAAAGGAGAAAGATGCGAAACTACGTATGCAGGCCTGTGTCAGCCAAGCATAAACGCGTGCAAATAAACAGCACTTTTAAAGACTGAGAGATAGGGAACAGAGTAGTTGTCAGAGAAAATTTTGAGCATACCATGAGTCCACAATTGTTGTTTCTAAGCCGAGAGAAATTAAGCACACAAAAGAGAGATGATTCATGAACCAGAGCGAGAGACAAGCGAAATCGAAAATGTTAGAAGGATGAGGAGAAAAACTGTTTCCTATATATCCAATCGTGAACAACGCGCACTGGAATTCTTTTTTTTCTTTTTTGGGCCAGTAGTTACAGTTTAATTTTCATTAAATAAGCATTATTAGACAGAGTTGCAGAACTGGCCAGAGGCAATAATTTCCTGGATACGCATTCATCAGAAGAGAAGTGAGGATTTAGCAAGAACAAAACCTGGGGAGAGGGGTAAACACATTTCGGAATGCAGTAGATTGTCAAGTTTTTATGACTTCTGGTCCTTTAACGGCTTATTCTGCTGAGACGCAACATTTTTGTTCCCAGACTTCTTTTTTGAGGCAGATTTGACAGTAGATTGAGTAGAGACAGGTTCTTTAGCCGAGGGTTTCGATTGCTCACCCGACTTCGGCGTTCCTCGCACTTTCTTACTAGCCGAAGCAGTGGGAATAGTCCCTGTCTCTCCTCTTTGAGGAGACACCTTCTGAACAACCTTCGAGAATTTCTTTGTAGTTGCGCCAGTTTCGCAATGATTCGAAATATCGGAGGAACCACTAGATGGTACTTCAGGAAGATGGCGGGTAAGCTTTTCAGGTGTATTGACACGACCACTACTAGTAGTTATCGTCTCCGATTGTGTACGTCGACGATTACGGTTCAAAAAGAAGCCATCGGGTGGTTGAAACTAAAAAAAGAGCAAACCAATACATTACATTACATCAGTAACATCGAACTTAAAATAAAACTAGGAGGAAGGAGAGCTTTGAAACAAAGGCCTTACTTTAGAATACTCCCGTGGTGGCTATTAAATCAAAATGTTATCAGATACGCTTCAAGTAAATAGTGGTAGCAAAAACGCAAACTTACATTGACCCTAAAGTCTTCAATAGTTTTATACTTGGAAAGCAGTTCCTTGAGTTTCGGGTTAACTTCGACCGAATTATTGCTGTAATGAAGATATGCCCAAAATTTCTCCAAACCATAAAGATGCCCGGATTCATAATCCCTTAGAGTTTCTTCCTAGAATTAAAATAAATAATCGTTAGTATTAATAACAAGGAAAAGGAGCTTGAAGGCGACTATCTTTACCTGGAAATCATCAAATAGCTCCTGACGGAAACGAAGTTCGAGACCATAGCTGTACAGCCTAAATAGACATTCAATACCATATCTAGAGCCATTTTGGGCATCCTCAAATGAGAAACGTCTGAATTCCCCGTACATAGTACGATTGAAGTTCAAACGAAGGAAGAAAGACCAGAATCGATACAGAGTATTCATTTCCTGAGAATTGCCCTTTCCATGGGCTTCACGGTCACGTAGACAGTTGGCACGGAATTTGTTATAACGATGGAAAGTAAATCCATGCTGCCCCAAGAGCTGTTGACTTGGGTGTTCAGCAAATGGATGTTTGGCAGATGATGAAATTACCGCTCCGTGGCTTGTTCCCGGTTCACTAAAAGTCAAAACACCTTTATGGATGTCTTTGGAATCACACATCAAGAGACTGATAAGCCAATACAAACTGGGCGAAATTTTGATGAACGGCATGTGAGGTTCCCACATGCACTAAGATATCTCCACTTTGGATGAATGCTTCCGTTGTGAGGGAGAAAAGAGCATAAATATAAACTAAATTCTCAATGAGAGCTAAGGCCTCCTAATAATTAAGGTTAATGATAGTCTTCTCCAAACTATTAACATCAACTAACTTCGTTATTTTATTCCCTACCACCACAACTATTGATTCATTTCCATAACTTGCAAAATGAATCCTGCTTGGCATCAAAATAGCCTAAAAAGAAGGTGTGCACCATGTCTTCACATAATGTCCAACGAATGCACACATTCCAGTTGCAGCATTATAAGGATATTTATAGACAAATTACATTTCATTAAAGCCCAAGCATCAATATCGGTAAAGTAGGCTTTCGACCCTCCAATTCAATACGCAAATCTCACCAATTTTGTTATGAGTGATTTTGTTGAAGGGGAAAACAGAAACACACAACATAAAACAAGTGTCCCCGAAGTGCATTCAATGATGAGAAATCAAAGAAAAATGCGGACAGGAACATTGTACCCCGACAATAGTATTTAATCAGCTAAAATAAGAACCAACAAAAATTTATAATTTTATGCAAAGCATTAAATGGAGGTAGAATGGGTGAAATATGAATTTTTGGGTGTTGAAAAAAGAGCTCTACTTTCTTAAGACCTCGAGATATCACTGAGGTTATATGGCAAAAAAACAGAACAGAGTTCACTCAGATTATGAATCAAATGCACGATGGCACGTGCTAAGAGACAGATCATGATTAAACACAACTTGTAGAAATCAGCATGCATACGAGGGACATGTAAAAGTAATAAGGGAGGCACGCTTCCACGTGTATATAATGATACACAGATGAGATTATTGATAAAAAATGCCGACAAGAGACTCGAACAGACATTTGATAAGTAATCAGTATCAAAGATTTATCATAGTCACTTTAAAACAAACTGAATGAGATATTTAACGAAATGGCAGCCGACCCCACAACCTGCATATGGTAACAGCGCCTCAGAATCTACACTGCTACGTGGGTTTACAATGAATTTACTAATTTGATCTACGGAGGTAATTTGAAGTACAACTAAAAATTACTGCATCGCATTGAGCTAATCCAGCTAAATGTTTAGAGATAGGATTGATTAATGGCTCCATAAATGCAAAACTAAATACGGTAGATATAAAATACCAAAGTGCAAATTTTTCAAGTTCCGTTTGAAAATGAAACCCTGGTCAAGTGCACCCATCATTAAACATTTGGGCTGGTAAAAATGCAAACAGAAAAACGAATAGGGAAATAATTTAACAGAGCATGTAGTACTCACGGGCACTCCGAGGTAGTTCGAAGTCTCTCATGGCCATTTCCTTGGGTGAGGAGAAAACCAACATGAGGCTCCTCAACAGAGGTTGAATTAGTGCCCGTAGAGACCGTCCGATAACGCCTCATCTGTTGACAAAAGAGAACAATAAACTCCACAGTCAATGAAGCCGAATTTAAGAGCACAAATGAACTTTACAACAACTACTTCTCACAGGCAACATTAATCGAAGTATACTGAGTCATCCCATATGGGAACTAAGACGCGTGTGACAATTTGTGGATAAAAAATATGGCTATCAATACCATTGCTCCTAATATTACGCAACTGTAACTGCGATCATTTTCTATCAAAATGACAATGCCTATTCAACACTTGCTTGCTATTACTACTCGAGAGTAATGGCATTATTATTATTCATCAAGCAAAAGACAGCCAAGGCTCTACACCTTACAATGCCAACACTAATTAAGTTTCGAGTTTGATAGGTTGAAGTGGAATTTAAATCAATTAGATTCAAGTTTCCTGATATAAAAGCACTGCTCAGTTCCAAACCAATTAAGAGACGTATTCACATTAGATTTGGGTATATGAAACGTAACCTTTATCCCGCTCTACTTGAGAAACACTCAAACACCCCTGTTCCTCTGAACTAGATATACACCGAACCCATAACCTCAAACATCAATAGTGATCGTTAAGTGCACTTTTATTGTCTTACTTCAGTAAACGCATACAATTCTTGGCCCTCTTACCTTGGTTTTGCGGGTTATAAAAACAGTAAAATGAGTTCACCAGTTAAGCACTCGTACATTTCATAAAGAAATCTGGCCAGCAAATGCCTCAAGTTAGTTGTAGTGACCAGAAGCAACTGGACACATATTGATGTTGACAATGAATATGGAAAACTAATATTCACCTAAGTCAAGCAATGAAATACAATTCAATAAGCGGAATAAAATGAGAGCAGTAGGTGTCAGAAAACACTAAAATAAACTGCGCTAATTTCAATCGCGTAACATACCCTTCTGGCTTGAATGGCATCATAGTGAGCCGGGAAAAAGCCAGAAGATGAGATTTTCTTAGCAGGAGGCTTTGGTTCAGGTATTGAAGTACTGGCGGCAGCCTTATCGACACACTCCTCCCCCCCCAAGGATTCGTCACCTGCTGCTGCAGGTTGTGTAGCAGCCGTAGGTGTTGGCACATGAGGTCTCTGAGACGGAGGCACTAAAGGCACATTAAGCATACCACCAGAAGAGGCCCCAGTAGGGACCATGGGAGGAGGGTTAATGGGGGCAAGAGGAAGAGCCGTGAATTCCCCATTGGCTCCTCCGGGGAAGAGGAAATAACCTGAAGTTGAAGGATGAGGAGGCATAAGGAGTGGAGGTGACTGAGAAATAGTGGAAGTCTGCTTCTGTGGACGAACAGACTGTTGAGGAAGTCGGCTGGTAGTGGTAGTGGCTGCCCCCGTGGTGGCTGCGCTGCTGACGGGAGCAACAGAAGTACCTAAAAAGGCACCGCAAGCTCCTGTTGGCATCATCGATGGCACACAAGTCCATTGAGCTGAGAGAAAATTTAATATGGGATTTGGTTAATGTAAAATTGGTCCATCCTTATATTTTAAATTGGAGTGTGCGATAGACTTACCTCCACGAATACTCATACGGCAAAAAAGTCTATTAACCGGCAGTTGACTTCTGACTTCAAACTACCATAGCCCGACTGCTTGTCATATCCAACCCCTTCCACAGCACTCATCTTGCCTTTTTCTCTACCTTTGTGTCTGTCTGCCTCTTTTACATCTGTGAATCGCTCTTCTGCTCCCCTTCCTCGACTTTCTGTTACTTTGATGACCCTTCCCTCTGTGAAGCCCGAAGTCAACTAAAGGGCTAATGATAGATATCAAAACTCCTGCCATTTGAAATAAATAAATATTTTAAATTAACTCGATCGAGGCTTCTTAATGCCAACTGGATAGTCCACAGTGGGACTGGTGTTATCACTCATAATAAGAGGAACGCACCTTAATAAGTTTTTTACTAAAATTTTGTAAGATACAAAGATGTACAATGAGACCCATAACAGATAAGCTCATTTTCGAAGTTAATC